GGCTTAAGTGCCGCCCACCCACGGAGGTGGGCGGCCTGAGCCTTGAGTTTAGGGTCAAGGGTTGAGGAGCTTGAGCGACGATGATGCCCCGCAGAGCAGCCCTCTTGAACCAAAAAAGTGTCCCTGCTCCCTGAGCCCGTAAACTTCAGGCCGCCTAATTTACCCCAAACCTTCCTGCTCCCTGAGCCCGTAAACTTCAAGCCGCTTAATTTACCCCAAACCCTAAACCCCTGAACCCTAAACCCTGAATCGTGAACAGAGAGAGGCCGGTCCTTCATCTTCTCTTCAAGGCTTCGGATCTTCTCCTCTGCCACACTGATACAGAGTTTTCGGATCCCACCCTAAACCCTAAACCGAAAGTTCCTCCCTGATTTCCTAGCTTCTCAGACGTAAGCCTGGATGCTGAAGCCGGAAAAATGCAAAACTCTGAAGACGGTCCTTCTGCTCCTCGTGCTGCTCCTTCAACTTCCCTTCCAGATTTTGCATCTTGTCCTCTTCCACACGGGCAAGGGATTTCGCTCAAGGACTACGGTTGATGAGATAAAACCTGCATTACCTTAAGGACCCTAAACTATGGGAATTATAGTATACTCCTTCTTACGTGTGATCCAAGATTTATAGCATCAACCGTAGTAGCAGATTTCGAGTCTGCGGCCTGATCTCCTCCAGGGTTTAGTACAGCAGTTGCAGGGCTTGGTGCGAGGAACCAGTACGTCGGGAATGTGGGGTGCAGTGGCTAAACTGTAGGGTTTAGGGTTTAGGGCTTAGGGTTTAGGGTCTCGTTAAACTCCACTACTGACACCAGCCGCCAGTGAATACAGCAAACTACGGGCGTATCGCCCTGCATGCACGATGCTCATGGGAATCAAGGCCTCATGCTAAAACTCCATACTCCGAGGCCTTTCCCACACTCTAATGACATCCAAGTTTAAGACTTTGCAGGAACCCGTAAAAATCATATTCAGGCATACGGTACGGACAGGATTCAAGGCAGGCGACGCGGAATGCAGACTCCGTCATGCTTTGACAGTGTTGCAACAGATTTCGTGTGAAGACTTGCGACATCATACTTACTTCAGATGCCCACCCAAGACATGCCCTGTGAAAGCCCTCCTTTCTCCGGGGCGATGAGCAGCAACAACCACTGCAAACTATCATTTTCGTGATGACAAACCCTAAACCCTAAACCCCTAAACCCTAACCCCCGAACCCTAAGCCCAAACCCCTAAACCCTAAGCCCTCAACCCTAAACCCCAAACCCCAAACCCTAAACCCTAAACCCCAAACCCTAAACCCTAAACCCCTAAATCCCATCTTGCTGAGCTCCTTTAGGTCGCTGCGCATGCTTCGAAAATCATCCAAAGCGGTTTCCTTGATGCGAACTGAAGGATTAAAGAAGATGATGCCCTGTGGTTCTAGGGGCTTCCTAGACGTTTCGGCTCTGTTTTTGAGTTGAACTATGTAAAGTCCTGCCTTTACGGTTTATGCATTTTTGGCGTATGAGCCCCAAACATCCTTGACACCTGATACCCCCCGAAACTCGCAGCGAAACTCCAATCGAGCCACTTGATGGAGCCTTTTGAGGCTCTTGGTTGAACGAGCGTGCTTAGCGTTTAGGGTTAAGGGTTTGGGGTTTGTAGGTAAGTCGGGATTTAGGGTCTGGGATGTAGAGACTCAGGAATCGATGTCAAACGGTGTTTGCGGTTCAGGGAGACGCATCACGACTTAAAATTGAACTCGCAATGTGTCTGAATGTAGAGCTTGGGAATATGGCTTCGGATCGTTGTCACGGTTCAGAGTTCAGCTGAGCACTAAATCCCCGAAAATTGCGGTGTAGGGTCCGTCCGGACCAGCGCAAAAATCTCACACTCCTCGGCAAAGCGATCACCAAAGAGGCCGAACAGGCTGAGGTTGAGCGTGTAGCGAACGCCTTCAAGGATTTATCGGCTCCCAGTGGGTTTTACAAATATTTCGCAAGGTGCGTTTGATGGGTTTACAGGTCTTAACGGCTTATGGATTTGCGCTGCCAGGCTGTCCGGTTGCTCCATCCTTCAGAAGTGTCCCCAAGTAAATCAACCTAAGGACCGAGGAAACATCTTAGCGGAATCATCCCCAAGTCAAGGACACTGACCTTTCTGAAACCCTCGGCCGTTCCGACTGCAGGGGCCTGTGAGTCGAAACCCCACGGCTAGAAGCCCCAGGATGATGAACGTAAAAGCCACCAGGCTCACCAGAGACCCGGCCAGCAGCACCACAAACACTACCTCCGTTCTCCAATCACCCAACCAGAAAACCTAAAAACTCAAGCTTTAGAATGTAGACCAAACAAAACCCCAAAAAAGTTCGGCTTCTACCATTGGCTGGGAAAGCTGCGGGGATGCCAATGGCCAAGAAGTACCCCAAGAAGTTATACTTCGAGTTCGCGACAGGGCTCCACAGAGCACGCTGAATGAATCGTTTGAAGATATTCTTCTGGTAATACGCCCCCGCAACGAAAGGCTCCAGAATTATTTTGAGAGGGCTCAGCGCGATCTCTGCCAACTTCAAACTGGTTCGGTAACCGTCCGGAGGCTTGTCGGTGTCGGGCGCCAAGAGCTTGCGACCCAGCCAAGTGCCCACCATCATCCAAGGCCTGCGATGCACCTGGCAGGGGGCTTTTCTCGAAAATGGTTCTATCGTAAATATCAACCTTTATTGTAAGAATTATTGCTTTTCTTGCTCTAAGGGTGATCTAACATCTACAAAGGACTCCGCTAAATGACAGGAACCATGACAGGAGCTTGACCTTAAAGGCACCATAGCCTCTAGCGAATCTTGTGCAATCCTGGGAACCCTTTTGTCGATCGAGCTAGTCCCGATCAGCAGCAGCCATTTCCGAGGAGGATGGTATGGAACATGAGAAGCAAACACAAAACACCTAAACGAAATCTACTACAAAGAAGAGAGATGTGACGATTAGGCTGGCATGGACCAACGGCGGGTTGGGTGTCCTGTACTCCGCGGATCCCACATGGAGACACACCCTTGTAGTTCTAGCAAGTTTAGCGGTCGGCACGCACACTTGACTTGACATGATGGACACTGTGCATCGGTCTCATACAAGTAACTCAGAAACGTACCTGGCCGTGAGTGCACAATATAGATGACATCCATATCTCAAGTGAAACACGGAAGCGTCTTTAGAGGCATTAACTTCCAGCATCCGTGAGAGCCCGCATAAACGGAGGATGACTGGCGTATAGCAAATTGAAGACAATCTAGTGAAGATGGAGATCGACATATGAACAAGCTGAAGTACTGACTTGGCAATCGGGGCGGGATGAGCCGAGAGCCATAGCCAGCTTCAGTGGAGCATCGCAGAAAGTGCTGTGCGGCGGGAGGAAACCTAGACCGGACCCCCTGGAGACCCGTGAGAACAAACTTTGGCAGTGTGAGACATCATTTCCGGAAGTGAGGCCGCTTAGTCAGAATGAAACCGGGCGGCCAGTCCGTAGCGAAAGAAAGGACTTATAAGAAAAATCAGCCGCTGCTGTGTGTGTGTGTGTGTGCCTCTACGGTCGCTCTACGGATTCCTTTTCACTGCGCGCCCCTTCACCTCCGGCAAACTCGAAACCCTGAACCGTACACTTGCACCAAACCTTGAAGCCCCATAGCTTAAACCCACCTCCCACCTCCAGCAGCATACGCGCACGCGCCTGAACAAAGAGCCCCTGTGCCCGGCCCTGTTGCATCTCGTAGTTCTGGCTTAGGATAGCAATCAGCCTCACTTGCTGAGTTAATGGTTTGGGGACTTGGGGCTGAGGATGTTGAGTTTTAAGTAGTCGGCTTGTGGGGATTTGGGCGCTGCCTGTACGGTTCGGCGCGTTTGCTGTCCCGAAGTATGTGGCTATCCTGGAGCTGGGTTTGTGTTACCAACGATCTCGGTGACAGAAAGGGGGTTAAAGGTTGCCTACCCAGCATCAAAGTAGCAGGTTCATGAGCAGCACGGTAATGCCAATCCCCGTGCCAAAGAAGCACAGCTGCAGGTAGATGTAAGGCAGGTAGGGACCGTAAGGCTTGTAGGGACTGTCCGGGTCCTCTCCCTCCAGGACCTTTTTCGGGCTGGGGTCGTTCGGCTCCCAAAAGCCTTCCACAAGCTGAAAGGTGGTGTCTTGGCCCTGGTACTCAAACAGGTCAAAGTCCCCGAAGATGGCCAATCGAACCGTGTGCAGGAACGAAGAGTATATGGGGTGCTCGTCGTCAGCTAAACCTGTGTAGGATTCAGGGCGAAGCCTCAGGGCCCATACCAGCGTTTCGGGTTTAGGCTGAGAACAACCCGGAGACAAAAACTCTTGCATGAATCGATATACTTTGAACCCTCCACGTTGCATGACCATACCTTCACCCCTTATCCCTGACATGACAAGTCCCACTGTAGCCGACAGCCTATGGCTTAAAGACTATTCCTTACTTCGCCTCGGGGATTCATGATCACGTAGGCATGGGTCGCACTTGCGACACAGAGGGAGGTGACGAAGAAGAATGCCCCGGTGTCTCGAACGGCTGATAGAATGGGTAAAAGGTATGGCCCCAGCCACCGCTCTCCACGAAGGCTGTACCTGCCCATAAACCCCACAGCTTGACTGTAGTCTTCCAATATTTTCTCAAGTACGAAACACTCGCATGCCCACTTAACGAATAGGAACCCTCAATACTAAACCTTCTGGACGGCCCCGGGTACATGAGTCGGAGCCAGTACATCGAGCAAAATCCCGGCAAGAAGATCGGCTCCAACTCTTGATTGATACAGTGATCCATCTGGCCATAGATTGCAAAGTAGCCTGGGAACTTGCTCAGGGAGATTGACACAAACTACCACGACAGAAGCATTCGGACACAAAATGTGTGGGTCTTGAAGGAGCTTCAACTCAGTTGCCACAACGAGAGCTTGCGTTAAGTAGTATGCTTTCTTATTCTGGCAACTCAGCGTAGGATTACCCCCAAGCCCTAACCCTAAACCCTAATCATGGTAACTCAAATTAACAAGAGCCCAGGGGCCGGCTACCACAAAGAAGAGATCAACGAGAGTTTCCAAGCTGGGCGCAGGCTGAACAAAGGAGACATCTGCATCACCCAGCAGCTTCATGTCCTCTCCGTTCACCCGATCCACATACCTGAATTTGTCAAGACATGTTTCAACGATCAAGAGCCCGATGGCTCCATCATCGTGCAAAGAACACGAACGAAAAGATCTTCTCCAAGACATGCGAGACACCCTTGTGCGTCCTCGTGCCTCCAGTAGGATCGAACCCGGCAATAGACGTAGAGCCCAAGCTGCCAGAGCAACTCCACAGTCTCTTTGAACTGAATCACCGCCAGGACCCAGAGTGCAGGCCTCGTTGGGTGGAGGGTTTAGGGTTTAGGGTTTTGGGTGTTGGGGACATGACTGGGCACTTGAAGAATCGCACAACTTGGGCAAGGCAGTAAGGATACAAGCCGACCCTTGCTTTCAGTCGCTTGATGAGACAAGGTCGCTCGCAACTCAAGGCAAACCGCTGGGGCACGGGCTGGGCATCCATGTCTCCTTTGCGACACGCCCAAGTTACCAAACACAGGCATCCCAACGACAGGCAGTTCAAGAAATTGTCCGCTGCGGTGGCCACTCGCATCTGGAGCCACGCTGCGGCCGTGATGGCTTCCACAGCCTCTGTTTGTAGAGTCTCCTCGTTGGCGGTCTCTGCCAGTGCCGCAAGAACCGCTGGCTTGCATGCCAGAGGTGCCGCGATTGGCAGGCTTCGCAACGACACTTGTACTTCCGGGGCATAGAGCATGTTGTGCGAGCTCAAGTTGAATGCATCGACATCTTCGGGCTTCTTAGCACGATCGTCTGCGAAGGCATACACGGACTTGCGAGGAACGGACCTCTTCTGATCCTCTAGAAAACTGTGCACCTCAGTGTTCGGTGTGCAAGATGGCTGCGCATGACAAAACTAGGAAGCTAAAAGTCCATGGCCGTATGTCTGCCACGGCCGTTGAAAAGCTTGGTAGCTCGGTAACCTGTAACCTGGCCCGCAGGCAACTATTGACAGACTGACTGCGTACTCGGTACCCGCTGCCTGTCCCATGCATAGTCGCACAGGACTGTGCGCATCCGCTCCTTCAATCTCTCGGAGCGGTAGCAGCCTGGTTCAACCTGACAAATTCCGACCAAATTTCGTCGTTTTTAGTCACGACATGTCAGGCCAGTGCTGTCAGTAGCTCCATGACGTTTCTCTGTACTTAGTTTGCTGGCAATGCTGACCCACCATGACAAGTGACAAGTTTGCTAGCTGCCACCTGTTTCTGTTGAGCTTCACTGCGTGATTGTGTATGATTGTTTCCGCTACTCATTCTCTCATTCATCTTGGCTAACTTTCCCTTCCCTCTGTCTGTTTCTCTTTCTCTCACACATGTTCTATTCCTCCCAAGTGCTCTCTGCTATGTGAGCCTGTCCTTAACTTGCGAACAGTACCAGTGTGTTCAGAAAGGAGCCGGCCTCTTTCAGCAAGCCGTCAACCATTTTCGTGAAGATCTGCCCCTCTCCACGCAGCAGTGTAACAAGCATGCGCTGGGTCCGCTTCTCATCCGCCCGGATGTCTGCAATGCAAGCATTTGTGTTCACGTTCAAGAACATGTGCAAGAACTCATCCTTCCGGATGTCTGTTTGAGCGTTCGAGTGCATGTGCAAGGCCCGCTTCTCATCCTCCCGGATTCCTTCTTGAGCGTCCGAACTCTGAGTTCGCTTCTGCTCTGTCTGCTTTTCCCCGACGTCTGCTTGCGTGCTCTCGTTCTCATCATCCCGGTTGCCTACTTCTTGAGCATCCGACCTCTGATCAAGCTTCTTTCGCTTCTGATCCGCTGCGTGATGCAGAAGGAACCACATGTGGATGTCGCAATCCGGCGAACAGAAAGCTGCCGAGAGGGCTGTCAGTCCATCGGAATCTGCGGCATTCACATCAGCTCTCCACCGCAAGAGCTCCCAAGCAACATGGCTGTGCCCTGAGACAGCAGCCGCAATGAGGGGCCTGGTCCACGAGCTATCGTCAGCCAGTGCTCTGTTTGCAAAGGTCTCTTGACCACTCACCCTGGCATTGGAAAGGGATTCGGGGTCGCAATTGATGGCGAAGAGCTCCTTCACCTTCGAGATCTCTTGGAGGACACATGTATGTCAAGCAAAACAGTTCGTACCTTTATATAGAAACAATCCCAATTTCTCCAAGTCACCTTGTTCAGGTCGCCGCATCGTGCAGCTCCCACCAAGCTTTCCTCTTTCTCTTCCTTACCGCTCTCAGCACTCGTACTCATCTGACAAGTCCTCTCAACGTCCTCCGTCCGTCTTAGACACAACTCGAAGTGCACGCATGATCACGCATTACACCGGTACCGCAACAGCAACCCGTTGACTCTGACTCAGCAGCCTTCAAATCTCGGGTACTCCACGGTGCTAAAAATCCCCCTAAACCCTTAACCTTAAACCCCAATAAGGAGAAGGGGAACTGCAGGGGCCGAGGTCTGCAGGAAAACTGTGCGTAGCGGGGTTGAGGGTGCAGGGTTCGTAGGGTGCAGATCCGTCTTAATGTAAATAAGCGCCATTCTAAGCTGAACTTCAAGCAACCCACCTGGCTCCTGAACCCCTCCTGAGCAATTAGATTCACATCCTCTCTTTGCTGCGCGGTCTCGTCCAGCTCGAGACGCCGAAGAGAAGGCACCCCGAAACGCCGAAGAGAAACTGCAATAGTGGGCGAGGCCTGACTGGCCGGGTTGAGCGTGGAGGGTAAGGTTCAGGTGGAGCATGCCCTCACAGCTGACCTCGCTCTTCCTACAGGGTCATGCTGCAAAACGACAGTGGGGTCTGGAGCTCGAAATCACGCAGACTTGAACCCCTCGAGGCATCGTCGTCCCAAAGGCCTTGTCTCTGTTCAGGGTTCAGTGCTGCTGGATTTGCACGAAGACACTGCCAACTGTACAGCAGCCGTGCAAAGGACAAACCGAATGAGTCCCGAAAGAAGCTTCCCGAAGCTTCACTTACTTGCAGAGCCAAACTTGGCACAGCAGCCCTGTGAATTGTCATTATACTGATCTTACGATGCCCCTTCAATGCTCTGGAACAGAATTTCTTTCGGGGCCCCCTGAATTCCCCCCAAGTCACCTTGTTCAGGTCGCCAAGTCGTGCACCTCCCTCCGAGCTTTCCTCGTTTTTCTCCTTGTCGCTCCCGGCACTCGTACTCGCCTGCAAAGTTTGCTAAGTTACCCCAAACCCTAAACCCTATATACCCTATATACCCAAACCCTGAACCCTAAACCCTAAACCCTAAAAAACCTTAAACCCTATACGCTTACATGCGGGCGCGTTTGCAAAGTCCGTCTTGGACAAAACACGGAAGTGCACGCAGTACGCAGATACCCCAGAAGCAACCCGTAAACCCGGAACCCTAAGCCTTAAAACCCGAAGCCGAACTTCAAGCAGCCCACCGGGCTCCTGACCCCCCGCCAGAGCCACCCACACACACACAAATTCGAAGTCGTAAACCCCAACAAGCAGAAGAGAAACCAAAAACTGAGACTGGCCGGGTTGAGCGTGGAGGTTTGTAAGCTTCAGATCGACGGCTCCTTCTAAGCGCTGCACTCTAGAACACGGTTTAGAGTTTAGGGTTTTTTGTTTAGGGTTTAGGGTTTAGAGTTTAGAACTGCCAAGGACCTCAAACCAGGGCTTGGTCGTCAGGGTCATGTTGGCCCAAAGACCCTAAAACAACCCTGCATGGATGCTACAAAGATCCTGATGATTGCTATGTCTAGCATGACAATGGTACAGTAATGTCCATCCTTCTTTAGATTTACTGTGCGCATGGCAGCTAACATGTCTGATCAGTGTTATGAAAGAAAACCTTCTGCCTTGCAAGGTCCATCTGAGACACAACTCGAAGTGCACATATTGCACAGTTGCCTCACAAGCGACCCCTGAACCCTGAATCCTCCCAAAGCAATCAGAGTCACATCCTCTCCAGGTTCCGCAGTGTCGTCCGGGTCTGCTCCCACCGCCTTCGGGGTGCTAGGGTAGGGCTTCAGGATCTGAGAATTGCTTCTGTCTCTGTGGTGAGGGTGCTCCCCGAGTGTGGCTTCCTGATTCAGGGATTGAGGCCGCAAGCCCAAACTCCAGTAAACCCCCAAAAGGCAGAAGAGAAACTGCAACAGGGCCAATAGGGGGCGAGGCCTGCACGAAAACCTGAGAGTAGGAGGGCTTAAAATGTTCAGACCCATGGCTCCTCTCATGCGCTGCACCCTAAAACTGCGTGAAACCCCAAAGCAGGGTTCGTTGAACCTCGCGAAACTCCTGAACTGCCCCTGCTGCGCCTGTGCCGGCCGTGGCACGTCTTATCGAGTTGCCACAAATGGCTGACCTACCTATATAGTCTCCATTGTATTTCCTTTTTTGGTTTAACCAATTCTACATTTAGGATCCTATAAGGTAACCCCAAAAAGGAACTACAATGGAGACTATAGGTATCACTCAAGCGGTAAAACAGCGCAATGCCTAATGATATGCGC